TCATTACACAGGCAGACACTTGGCAACGAACGGTTGCACGAAGACATTTACCAAACTATTCTCTCTCACACACATACACACACAGACACACACACACACTCGAATGTTTAATGGATGTATTGGCGTGAATAATACGGTGATTACAGTCGTGTCCCTGACAGAGTCTGGACGAGAGAAGCTGTGGAAAAGTAATTCCACATCTGTAGAGACGGATAAGGGCTGAACGTGAAAAAAATTAGGGATGTTGGATTATAATGGCCGATCGTTATAATTAGCATAATTATGTAATATCTATCGTATCTGTATATAAGTATTGTTATCGGTTTTTCCTTCGATAAGGAAAACACAAAAACAACAAAACACAACAATCAAAATGATGTTTGCCCTAAAAATAGTTTTGGGAAAAAACAATATATATATATAACTATATGTACATAAAATTGAAAGCCACTGGAGGGCAGCATTGCAGCTCATTTTACTAATCTGGGGATCGTATGCAGAATGCTGCAGAAATTAAAATCAGGGGATTGTATGCAGAATGCTGCAGAAATTAATTAACAAAATAAATATTACCAGGCCCTTAATAGTATTTCCATTTGGGGGAGGAGGGTAAAAAAAAACTTCTGTCCCCTAGGGGGCGGCATGGCAGAAAATAATTGTGAAACACTGCTTTCAAGTGAGCAGCACCAGGCCACCACTGCCGCGGAATCAGAAATTAAGTGTTCGGACAATATCGGCATATCGGAAAAAAGTTAATATCGGACATCCCTGGTAAATATCTTTATAATTTCAACGCAGGTTTTTTTAACGCAGCTAGAAGGTGATTTAATTGAAGTCGTGCAGCGACTCGTTTTTGCTGCAGTGAAGGTCTGACTTCACATCAGGGCTGGTGACAACTGCACCACACAAGGGCAAAGAAGCCTCCCCTCTGACCCTGCAGACTGTAAGAAACCATCTGTTCAAATATATATTCCCTGTAGCTCCGCCAGAGTAAACAATGTCCTCATGTCCGTCTGCACCGTCGTCCGACGGCAAATGTCTTTTCATTTCAGCCACATCGGTGCTTTCTGCCACATTAACCACATTCATTAGATCCAATTCAAGCCAGTGTTTATTCTGGTGCCGCGTGTTTAACCACGAGTCGGAGTCTAAGCCAGGTAGTAAACTGGAATGCGGAATTATGGGACCTGAGAGGTTTCTTCCTGTTTGTCAGATCTGGGTCACAAGCTGCTGGTGGCGGCAACGTCACATGACACCCAGATGTAGGCGATGAAACCGGTAATAGAAACAACGAGGCCCAGATTACGAGGGTTCGAGTCTTGGTTCGGGTCCCCAACATGGAGATCGGAGTCAGGTATTACGTGAATTTTATTTTGGTAGAGGAAAAACGTTTCAGCTGAGCCGAGGCCATGTCTCTGCCCAGAAGTCGGATTAAAAAAACAAAACAGATTTGAATTCAATTCCTGAGAATTTTTTTTCAATCATAAGCATAAGTTAATGCTAAGTGAAAGTCAATTCACTCCAGGTTTCTTTTCATTAAATGGACCAGATGTACCATGGTACACCGTACATGGTGTCAGCTCATATGGGCCGCACATATTCCTGTGGTATATTTTCCTGTTTTCCTCTAAATGGGATCATCGTCTAATATTTGCTGTTACTGTAAGTTACCATAGAAACAATAGAGTTCTTTTGTTCACTTTAGGACCTCGACCTCAGAGGTCCAGAGACCAGAGAACCACAGAACCAGACCTGCCCTGGTTTCATCTGAACTGACAGCCTGACTGGAGACACACAGGAAGTGTCCACACAGTCACAGGATGTTGTTGAGTGTGAAACAGGGATTTGTTGACATCTGTTGTCTGTTTGTCAGGTTCTTTACTGAACATGAAAGTCAATGTCCCTGGGAAGAAAATCAAAGTCTGTCCTCTGGTGGTCTCTCATCTCTCACCTAAATGTAAGACGCCCAGTTATAAAAAGAAAAGAAAACAATGTTAGACTTAGTCTGAAGGGTGCGCTCTGCTCTGCTCAAGCTCCATATTTATAGATACTTATACATATATCTATAGCTATATATCTATATGTATCTATCTTTTATAGATACTTATACATATATCTATATCTATATATCTATATGTATCTATCTATATATATGTATATATGTGTATATATATCTATATACGTATACATATATGTACAAATATATGTGCACATATATAGATATGTATATATGCATATACATATACACACATATATGTATACATATATGTACAAATATATGTGCACATATATAGATATGTATATATGCATATACATATACAAACATATATATGTATACATATATGTACAAATATATGTGCACATATATAGATATGTATATATGCATATACATATACAAACATATATATGTATACATATATGTACAAATATATGTGCACATATATAGATATGTATATATGTATGTACACACATGTATATATGTATATATGTATACATGTATGTACACATATATTTACAAATATATGTCCACATATATAGATACGTATATATGTATATGTATATATATACAGTATATTTATATGTATATATTTTTGTATACCCTTGTCCACACACACATATATGTTCAGTATTTTGAACCAGACCATGGCGACAGCACCGGCTGAGCCGCCGTCTCCATTTCACCCTGGAGCTAAAGGTCTAACGGTGTTTTGCATGTGTTGTCGATGGTGTGAGACACGCGGCGTCTCAGCACCAGGTCCAATGTCACCGTGTCCTTGTGTGTCGTGTCCGTGGACTTCAACATTAATGGTCAACAAAGACGTCCGTTATGACCAAAAACAAAAATGACTCATCTTTGTTTGACAGTCCACGTCTGAAGCATTTTATTAGAAGACTGAAAAAACCCTTTTCCTTTAGTTTGTTTTTTAATTGGTTTATAATCACCTCAGAGAAACCACCGTCCTCACTCTGGTAACGTGTTTCTAATCTAGATCTTGTCTCACTCTGGTAACGTGTTTCTAATCTACGTGCCTCAGATCTTGTTTGTCATATAGAGCAGGGGTCTGTCTCAGACGGACAGAAAATCATAAATGTGATTACGAAGCAATTACGCCGAGATGAGTGATCAGTGAACTCCTGTCCCTCAGTGATTACTTTTATTTTTATGAAATAATCAATATTAATAAGCTTATTTTCTGGAGTGAAGTTCACGCTGACCCGCTGCTCTGAGTGGCCCTGCAGCATCAGTGTTCAGAGGGAGCCCTGAATCCCCAGTGTCACCTCTCCTGCGGGTGGCGCTGTACCGGAGAAGGGGCAAAAAAAAAAAAAAAGAAAAAGAATTGAGCAGTGTTCAACCTGGATACTGCAGCAGTGCATTATGGGCTCAGTGAGTCTTCCGTGGATAAATCCGTCCTCGCTCCAGCGCGCCGTCACGCCATGTTCTGAATACTTAACGCTAGTCAATTAGTGGAACAGGAGTCTTTGTTACCTGAGGAGCTGCGTCATCACCGGCCTCGTTGACAACTCTGACTTTCACCTCGACTCCACAACACGCCCGTCGTCTCACTCCTCGGCTCCTTTTGACTCCACTTCCACGTTTGAACTCTTTTTTAATTAAATTGATGCCCCTGTTGCATTCTCAATGTCAAACAGGTGGAACAAAAGCGAAGGGCGCGCGGCCACTTGTGCACGCAGATAAAGGAGGGAAATGGAATTCCCTTCCTGTGAAAAGATTCCCCTGATACCAAATCTGATTGGACTTATCTCCGTCTGTCGTAGCTCCTGTGGCTTTGTTCCAAGTCAGCGGCCCTGCTCTGCTCTCTCACTGTGAGGCAGCATTTGTCAAAAAAAAAACACACCTCCACAGCACACACACACACACACTCATCTGTGATCGTGAACGCTCGCATGAATCTTTGATGTGGTTTAAGTGCAACGATCGAGAGGCCGTTCAATCGATCAATTATTTACTCTTATTAATGGACTTTTAATTGCGTGTTCCTGGTGATGTGGTTCAACCGCCTGTGACGTCGACGCAGGATCGGTTCGACGTCGCAGCTAAATTTACCACTAATTAAAAAAACCCCCGGCCCTGAACGCAGAGTGCAGTGATTCACAAACCTTCTCTGCTGCCCCCTCCTGGTTTATGAGCCTACTTTGTGTTCCATCTTTGAAATGTAGCTTCTTTTTTTTTTCACACCTTAACAGTGAAATGATGTCCAGCGTCAGTGGTTCTCGTTAAACATTCAACACCGCTATTAATCATGCATTATTTTTGACTTATTTAACTCAATATTTGACTCATTTCCTGAGAGAAAAAAACAACAAAACAAAACAAAAACCTTGAGGTTTCTTTTCCCAAAACCATTGCATCTTTTGAACAACATTCATTCCATCTGCGCCCCCACTGCAGTGACACTGCGCGCCCCACCTAGGGGTCACGCCCCCCACTTTGGGGACCTCAGATATAGCGCAAGGCGGCCGCTGTGCTGTGGCGCTGTACACCTCTCACGCACTTCACTTCAGTTGTGCTGTATGTCAACACGTACAATTTACAAGAAAAGATAATACAGACAGAGGGCAGAGCTCTGACCAATGAACGAGCAGCAATGAATGGAAACAATTCATTATCATTGGATGGAATTTTTTTTTTACATACCTGAAAACTCGACAAAGACAGACGGTAGAAATCGGCATTAATTAAATACATAATTCAGAGTCAGAGTGAATGTTGTGAATATGAGCGAGTGAAAAAAAACCCCACAAAAACAGATGCAGCGTGTGAATGAGTGAACTGATGAGCGTGATCTGCACTGATGAATCAGTTAAGTGACAGACCACCCACAGACCGACGAGCCCCCGCGGTCTGTCTTCAAGACCACTTCAGCACCCCGGAGAGAGCGAGCCCCGAGGCTGCAGGGAGCTCTCCAGGGTGCTGCACCGCCTCACCGCTCGGCTGTCTCAACTTCAGAAATAACACAACCGACAGAACCGACACTCACCTTCCACCTCATCCTCAGGCAGGGTAACAGGGGGCCGGTAGGAGAGGACATCTGGAATAGTGCAAAGTCCCTTGTACATGAACCTGGTGGTCACGGCACGCACTGGCATCTCTGCGAGGGGAAACCAACAACTGTGTGTCGATCTTCATAAAGTCCAGAGCTGCACTCCGTGCTTCTGTCGCAGGAAACCTCCAGAAAAAAAAAAAAAAAGAGAAAAAGTTCGATCCTCGTGTGGTGTTTTTTAAGAGAGAGAGAGAGAAAAAAATCACCGTCGACTGACAGAGCTGCGTATGTGTTCGATGCCACAGCCCGCGGCGTCAGTGTGCAGCCTGTTGCAGCCCTGGATACGGAACAGTCAGACCGAACCTTTTCTCACACACAAAAAACAAAAACACCTCGACGTGAAACTTTTTACCTCCGCAGCCTGACGGGCGCGCACACACACACACAGAGTCTGGAACGACGTAGGGTTCGAATCCCGCAGAGAGCTGATCACAGGTTGATCAGCTCCTCACGAAAATCTGACCCGGAGACAGAAGCTGTCTGGGATTGTTTTTGTTCCATTCGTGCACATTCGTTCTCCCGCCGCATTCTACCTCTGTTTGGAACCAGGCCAAGAACAAATACTGTAATAATCATGTAAAAATAAACACAAACACAAACTTTGAGGAGATTAAATTCAGCCGAAGGAAATCTTCCTGCTTCTTATTTCTCGCCTGGATCTTTCAAACAGTCTTTTCTCATTTTCCTCCGCATCACTTTTCTGTCTCGAGTTGACATTTTCTCAGATGGAAAAAAACCCCAAAAAACCCAAACAAAATAGAAAGAAGTGAACGATCGGCAGCAGCAACAGCCGCAGCCGACTCACTCCAGGGACCAAGAACTAAC